ATTTAAAATAACTGTTTTCTATGTGAATATATGTTGAAATGTAATTTATTGCTGTGATCCAAAGCTGTATTTTCAGCATCATTACTCCAGTCTTCAGTGTCACATGATCTTCAGAAATCATTCTAATATGCTGATTTGCTGCTCGAGAAACATTTCTGATTATTATCAATGTTGAAAACAGTTGTGCTGCTTCGTATTTTTGTGGAAACCGTGATACACTACCATTCAAACATTTTGGGGTGTTTTCTTTTAGAAATGAATACTTTTATTCTGCAAAGATGCAATGAATTGATGAAAAGTGACAGTAAAATTTATAGTGTTACAAAACTTTCTAATCATCAAACAATCCTGAAAGAAAAAAAAAGCATTGATTTATTGTAAAATTCAGCTTTTCATCACAGGAATCAATTACATTTTAAAATATATTACAATAGAAAATAAGTTATTTTAAATTGTAATAATATTTCACGGTATTACTCTTTTAGTCAAATAAATACATAATTAAAACAGACAAAAAATCATAAAACTCATCATAAAAATCATAAAATATCAGAAATATTTTAAACATTTGATCGGTAGTCTGTTTTTCCCCCACCTGTTTTATAATCTATATATATATATATATATATACAGTGGGTACGGAAAGTATTCAGACCCCCTTAAATTTTTCACTCTTTGTTATATTGCAGCCATTTGCTAAAATCATTTAAGTTAATTGTTTTTCCTCATTAATGTACACACAGCACCCCATATTGACAGAAAAACACAGAATTGTTGACATCTTTGCAGATTTATTAAAAAAGAAAAACTGAAAAATGCTCAGTATTTAGTAGAAGCACCCATTTGATCTAATACAGCCATGAGTCTTTTTGGGAAAGATCCAACAAGTTTTTCACACCTGGATTTGGCGATCCTCTGCCATTCCTCCTTGCAGATCCTCTCCAGTTCTGTCAGGTTGGATGGTAAACGTTGGTGGACAGCCATTTTTAGGTCTCTCCAGAGATGCTCAATTGGGTTTAAGTCAGGGATCTGGCTGGGCCATTCAAGAACAGTCACAGAGTCGTTGTGAAGCCACTCCTTCGTTATTTTAGCTGTGTGCTTAGGGTCATTGTCTTATTGGAAGGTATAGATTACACTAATATTAGGCTACTTTTCCCATGTAAACATGATCTATAAAGGTGAAAAATGCATTTACTTATATTTGAGAATCGTGATATTTTATGATATAGTTAACACGTTTGGGAAAATTTCAAATAAAAAAGGAACTAAATTTCAACCGAGGGGGGCCTTTAATCGGTCCGTGCCGCTGTGTTATAATCCGTCCCTGCTCACAATAGCAAGTTGATATCTCACAATTCAGACTTTTCTTCTTAGAATTGCCTGTTTATATCTTATAATTCTGACTTTATATTTTGCGGTTCTGAAAAAAAAAAAAAAAAAAATCAGAATTGGGAGATATAAACTGAACTGGAAAAAAAAGTCGCAATTACCTTTTCTTTCTTTCTTTCTTTCTTTTTTTCCATCCTGTGGTGTAAACAAGCTTCCATACATTTGTCTTAGTATGAAAAGCTTTGAAATGTTTCATCAGGTAAGAGATTGATATTTTTGAAAGAAAAGTATGAACACGTATAGTATCATCAAACTTACGGAATTGCAAAATGTAATTATATTTGCATTTATTTTCTCTTAATTCGTTTTTTTCATTATTATATTAGCACTCCTAGTTCCTGTAAACAAGCTTTGTCTTTACAGCAGAAGTACCAGAAATATCTTGTCTCAGAATATGAAAAAAGAAAAAGTTGAGAACCACTGCATAAACGGGCACCACTAAAAAGTGTTCTAACTCTCTAAAGTGATTGAACCGCTGAGATCTTCTCAGATTTCTGCCTTTGGCTCGGCAAACTCACCTTAGTATGAATTGTTAACTGAGTTTCACTGTGGTGGTAAATCACACATTAGCTGTTAGCATGACTCTAACACAGTGACCATTCATCTTCTCTGTCCCCTGATTGGCTCAGATGACAGGACAGGAAGAGGAGGGCCGTCGCCATGGGAACAGGACACAGCTGGCGATGACAGCTTCCCGAACATGTGGCGTCCAGGTGGAGGCGGAGAGGAGGAGGACACACCTGTCACCCCTGACATCAGGGAGGAGAGCGTCTTGTGCAGGACAGAGATTGGGAGACAGGCTAATGAGGTGAAGGAGGGTCCTGTGGAAAAAAAGACGGGCGTCTGCACAAAAACACGTTCCTGTCGGGAAACGGAGGGACGCCCGGCTGTGGGAGAGGGAGAGGTTTTGGGGGAGCTCTGTCTGATGGCGGAGGAGGCTGAGGATGCAGCTTTGGCTCTGAATCCTGCACAACTACCTTCAGTTACTCTTGAGCAAACCGCCTGGGAAAATGCCGACTTTCAAGCCTCTGTGGGGCTGCCGAGAGCTCGCTTTGAAGATATTTCGGACGGTTCCTCCATTAAGAAGGAGCCTGTTGAGCAAAGTGACTCTGTTCTGATACAGGACGGGGAAATGAAGGTCTGAAGGTTTTGGAAATGCCTAAACGTTGCAATTTATTGGTCAGATAAAAAGCAGATGAATAAAACAATCCACTTTGCATACAGTATGTAATATTGAGGCAAAAAAAAAAATCTATTTCCAATGTTTCGTTTCATTCACTGCAAAAAAAAAAAAAAAAAAATTTTCGGGTGCATTTAAAGCAGCACTATGTAACTTTTGGTGCTCTAGCGGTTAATAAACAGAACTGCACACATCCCGCGGAAGAACATTCTAACCGGAGCTACTTCTCTAAGTTAAGCTACTTCTCTAAGCCTATGGCGATTCACGCAGGTATGTGTTACTCCGCAGCGGAGACGACCCGACCAGGCTACAATAGTCAGAATATAAGTGCTTATTATAAGTGTACCGTAGTGATTCGGAATAAGACAAACACGCGGTTTGGAAGATGAATTCATGATGTACTCGCTCATTATATACATTTTGCAAATTTTGAACACAGAAAAAGTTACATAGTGCTGCTTTAATTGAGAAGCAAAATTACTTAAGATATTAAGTCTTGTTATCTGAAAAAAAAATAAAAATAAAATTCTGTCCGTTGGGTAAGAAAAATAAGCAATTCAGTCAGGAGACCAACAGGTGCAACAGTAAGTATTGCCTGAACACCATCATCTGAAGTTGCTTTTCTTAGAAAAACCTCATATTTGGTGATTTATTGGTCAGACGAATGCATAAAACATCCATACTGTATAAAACAATCCAGAATACATACAATATGCAATCCTGAAGCCAATAAAGCCTTCAATTTGTACCATGTTTTGTCTCATTCACTGCAAAAATATTTATAATAAAAAATATATATATAATTGATAATATTTCTTCAGTATTTCTGTCGTTTAACCAGTACAAATATCTAATTATTCTTAAATCAAGATACAATTACTTGGGAACCAATTAATAGATAGATACAGACATATAGATAGATTATTTGCATTACAGCAATGAGACTTGGTCAATATTTGTGTATATCCAGTGGACAGTGAAAGAAATTTGTACTACTGAATCAATTTTCACTCTGTTTTCACTCAATTTTCAGTCCGAAGTTGCTAGTAAATTTGACAAATAATTACAAAGAAATGGCAAGCAACACTTAACAATAAACTTGGAATTTTGAAGCAGAAAGACTAAAATAGTATTTTCTCATAAAACATACTCCAATCATCCAAAATAATTTTTTAAAGTGTATATACACTCTCAGGGTCATACATGCATACATAAATAGCACAAAAACTGGGGTGGTACCCTTTCAAAAGGTACTAATATGTACACTTTAGGTACTAATATGAATCTTTTAAGGCTAAATAAGCCAAATCTTTAGAGTCGGCCCACTGTCATCTCTACACATATTCAACAGCTGCTTTCTCTTGCTCTTTGGTCCTATTAGACAAGAAACGCTGCATTTGTACAGGAGGATGCGCGCATACACCGTTGAATTATTCATTGAGAAACATAAAGAGATTCAGAAGTAGGTGAGAGGGTGGTTGTATGAAATCGTGAGGGATTCATTTTGCAGGAGCACATGCATAAGGAAAATAATGGATTTTGATGTGTGTAGTTTTTTTTATCCATTTATTTTTCATTAAAGAAATTATAAAGGAAAACGTCTCTCTGAACGGTTCAAGAAGTGTACTACAGTAACAACTCAAAGGGCTTTAGAGTTTTGTCCTGAGCTGTGATCTAAGCAATGGAATATAGTTTTGCTTTTATGAGCAATATCACACTTGAGATATGGCTGAATATCGGCACGGCTGTGATTCGGCCGTAGGTAATCACAGCGTGCCGATATACAGCCATATCTCACGTCTACGAGTGTAATATTGCGTTTATACAACAGTTCGACGGCACGAGTGTGTAAATATATAAGAAAAACAATAACGGAGTGTCTTTAAAAACCCTTTTGTGCAGAACTACTTTCTTCCGCCACAGATTCAAATCTTCAAGTCTCCGTTACTAATTCGAAAACGTCACTTTAGAACTAGTAACAACGGAACGTTGAGTCGCTTCATTAAAAGCTTATTGTATCACTGTATTAAAAGCTCACTGTATTATGTAGAGTATTATGAGAGGGAGATGGACTGAGAGTGTGTGATTACCTGCATCTGATACAGCATTTATTCTTCAGCTCAATCTCATATTCACAATAAAACATTTGACTGTACGCTGAGGAAAGCGATATCTTTGTCATACTGACTTTTCATCTGTTGAGGGTGATTTCCGATGACAGCGCTGCTCACTGCATTTGTTGGCTGCGTCTTACAAGCTGTTGTTGAAAGTAAAAATAACTTTCGTTTCAGTCTCTTTCAATATAAAAGTCTTTACTGCTGACTCAGTCTCTGTAAAACAGTCTCTTGTCGCCATCTAAACGCGAAACGATGTCACAAAAATCACCATCACAAACACACACACTCCAAATACTAAATACTACTATGAATATAAAATAGTATTTATTGAATAATAAACAACAACAGCCATCATAAAAGTCGCTAGAAAATTAGTACAAAGGCAGCGCTCTAATATACAGCATTACCGTTACATAAAATATAATGTGATTATCAGCCAAAACTATTTGCTCTGGAACAAATAATAGATTAACGAGACCAAAGACTGCCCGTTAAAATTACCCAAAACAAATTATATCTCATGTTTAACCACTATAGAGACATCAGAGCCAGCGGCAAATTCCAGAAGATCTGGCCGAGGTGATGCTGCTCTCGTTGGGTTCATGCCCGCTGACGCTCTGGAGCTCACATCTCTGAAAACGTCGAAGCAAATTTTCAAATAAACGTTATCTTTATTAACAAACCGTATATTTGAA